CGACTCCAACAGCCCCAGGGCTGCTAGCTGAACCGCACGCGCACGCGCACGCGCGCATGTAGGGTCCGGCCCGTGTGTCAACCCACGGTTCAATGCCTGTAAAGGAAGACAGGTGATACGGGGCCAAAATGGACAACGTGAACATCTGGTAGTACCCTGGCAGGTACTTGGTCCTTCTGTGCCTGTCCTGCTGGGCCTCTGGCAGTCTCACCACCACGCGTTTGGCGTCGTCAGAGAGATGGTAGCTGCTTTGATCTGTAGCAGGCTGAGAGGGCCACGTGGCGAAATCACAAAAATCATACGGCTCGGGACTTGGTACTGAAAGGGCCTTTGATCCTCATTTGATCGTCCAGGAGAAAAAGGACAACGCCAGTCACCTGTGGCACTGGATCTTGGAGACGGCCAGCTGGCCAGAAGGCCATGGATCTTCAAAGGGACGCGGCATTTGATCGTCCACAGTTCGTTCTGCCCGAGGAGGACTGAAATTGCCCGAGGTTCTTTTCACATTGAACTTTCCCTTTGACGAATTATAGCGTTACAACAAACATGGAGTGGAAAAATAAAACAAAAGGCATCAAAGGGCTCTCACAAACACTTATTTTGAGGTGTCTCACAACCTACTTTAAATTCTGAATATCCCCGTTGAAATTCCCATGGTCGGTCCGGGCTCCACATTCTATAGTAATACAATGGGGGAGCCTACCTTTTTTGGCTCTATAGAATGGAGACCCCACCTAAGAGCCCAGACCGACCAAAACCAACCAAAATGACACCTTGGTAGACCTATAACCTAAAAATGGCCTAACCATAAGTTGGTTTACCCCACCCTCCTTCCAGACCTTCATTGTGTCAAGATAAGCGCTCAAGCACACAGTTCAGAAAAAAATCACTTTATAAGGGTCATGTGGGCAAAGAAATCTAGGCTTCACACAACAGCTGACAATGACGGACAACCACATTTCTCACTCTTGCTGTGCACGGTCTCTGTCTATGTTCTGCTTGTGTAAGTGTATATGCTTCGCATATACCATTGGACAATCCCCCCATTCCAAATAACTACCATTCCGGGCTCTCCTTCAAGTTGCACAACAAAACCCAAACACAAAAGTTCATGAACAGTCTGTTCACTAAAAAATGTCACAGCCATCCACAACACACACCCAGTTCTGGAAAAGACCAGAACTGGCAACACTCACAAAAATCTATTTAGCCAGTGTCGGATTTTAATAGCCGATACTGGAAGTTGAGCCCGATGAGTTGCACCTTTCGGCGCTATTTTACACCTTTCGGCGTACTAGTTACAAGTAGCATTTCTTTTTTTTTGTGGGCTGGGCGTGCCCAAGCTAAGGCCCATGAACGCCAGCAGGATGAAGATGATAAAGCCTGAGTCTCCTTAAAAATGCTGTGCTTATAGAATGGCTGGAGTCCAGCACCTGAAACAGCCTTTGATCTGAGATTATAGGAAGATTGCCTTTCCATAGAATGGATAGGAGTCCACCCAAAAAGGGCTGTCCCTAAATTGAGTGCCCCTCCACTTTTGGAGTCTCTTCTGGAGAGCCATGTGGTTCGTAGAACCGTTCTATGCAGGAGCCTGGGGGGACCGATTTTATGGATGAAATTTTTACGGGGATTTCTGAATATCTTTTTTGGTCCGGCACCGGCATCCGGAATTCAGCTATACACTCTAGGAATTCAGCTCCAACAGGCTGCTTTTCCGCCGTTTTCTCCCTCCTCTAACCACACGGTCGCAGCTGAGACCGGTCGCTCAAAGCAGCGCCCTGCGGCCCTGCCTGGGACAATCTCGCCCCAAAGGTTCAGCCACTGAAAGCGCTGTGTAGTCCTCGACCAAGGGTTGATCACCAAAATCCGCAGCCCTGTAGGCCTGGACCACGCGAGAATCCTGGAGACTACTGAGTCGTAACAGCAGCTTTCACTCTGGAGTTGTCCAGAACCAATGTTAACACATGTTGGCACTCTCGCAAGTGCCGGGATAGCAAATGTATAGGAGCTTCTAAATGTGGTAGGCGACTTTGAAGGTCAATGCCCTATCCTCTGAACTTTTGTACGTCGATCTTATCCACAGAGGATCTGCCTTTTCATGCATTTTCTAACCCATCAGCAATATCAGCCTCTGCTTTTACAGCAGTTCAACATGACCCATCTCCAGCTGATCCAGGCCCACCTGATATCTACCATGACCAATCCATTCCTTGGTGTCCACATGACTGGATCTCCACAAGTGAATGTGCTAGAACACTGAGAGATCAAGAAAAGCAAGTAATGGGCCCATGTTCAAACGCACGACCACCAACATCGCATGCATCATGAACATTAATTAATGAACCCAATCCGCAAAAAATCATCTCTGGAATCTGCTGATACAAATATCCACATGAGAGCTCAGTCGACCGGGTCACCCAAAAGAACAACCAACATGCCCCGGTCTCCAAGGTTAAGGCATCTTGGATTCTTGGATGGAAGACAGCTCGTTGCACCTCCTGTTGCTTGTATGGTTGGTATCGGTATCATCTGATGCTTCATAAACTGCTGCGGAGCTGTCACCAAATGCAAAACACTTTCTGCCTGCTTCATTAAAGACAGCCGTTCTATATATGCAGCCCCAACTTGATTTTGGTAATCTCAGAAGAGGTGCTGCATTGTGCTGATGCTCTACCATGTCAAAACATCACTTCATCGCAGGTTCCTTCACACCATACCCATCCGAACCACGCTTCATGGGACTGTCCTGGCTAAACATTGGGTGGCTGCCTCAACAACTCAATCTATCTTTTCTGTACGGACATCCTTTAGCTCAGGAACAAGGGGCTACTAGGGGCTCCTGGCATCGCTACTAGGAGCAAGTAGCTACTAGGAACAAGAAGCTAGTAGTCACTGAAATCCAGTGATTTCAGAGGTTCTATTCGAGAAGGAATCGGGCTTGATGGCATCCTTACCTGGAGCTCAGGACCATAGTTTCCCCCGAGACAAAACAACAAGTTCTACTCTGGATCCCGTCCAAAGAGTCTCACCAATCACTTCAAGCTTCTGATTCAAGGTCCGCAATTTCTCCCCACGCGTGTTGGGCACCAGCGCATAGAGCATCACCGTGCGTCCCTGGCATGTTTGTTGGCAAATTTCGATCGATGCGAGGTCAGCCTGACTCAGGCAGAAACTACTACGCCCGATTACACCACTTGAGCATTTGCCACGCCACCGCTGGTTGATGCAAAGGACATGATGCAACAAGGTTGTCGCTCCTGGACAGGGGCCTATCGCTGGGCAGGGGCCCCACACTTCCAGCTGAACATACTGGAAAAAGGCATTAGCATGGTTATCCCTTTTGAAAAGGGACATATCCCTGTTTCCAGGCTTCAGCACACTGTTTCTACTTCTCGACAGGTCTTTACTAGGTTGGTATAGATTGGCCATCGCTGGTTTTGACGATTGCCCCAAATGCTTCTCTCTTGCAGCCAGTCCGCGGTGATGACAAGGATTGTCATGATTCTGGCGACGGCAATGATGATGATTCTTAGTGATTGGGCCTTGAGAACAATAGGAGTGAGTTGTTGGTTTGGACACACCAATAAATTGAACACCTATCAGGACTCTTAGCACCTTCCTCCCAGATCCATATGTTTCAGTGTGATACCCACAGATTCTACACCCCCTCAGAGCCTCACCCAACTGCGTTCGCCCAAGTGACTTCCATCCAAACCCACCTAGAGGAACCAACAAACATATGCTTCCTCCACCAAGCTGTGCACTGGCACACCATGACACTGTCACCCTCTCTGTCGCAGCCAGTCCCCTCGTTTTCACTCGCCTCGTCGCGCCAGCTCCAAGAGGCTTCCGGCACGGCCAAACCATCGGCACCCACCAGCCAGTCCTCGTCACACCGAGCACGGGCGGCACGTGGCAACGGCGCAGGATGGGCTAAGCGGCTAAGCATGTTTTGGTGAGCACGACTCGGCTGGTGTGATAAGTCCACAGCCGAGTCGTGTGAGAAGTGCGTGCCATCGGATGACTTTTGAATCTGATCTACAAAGCTCAGGTTTTGGTTTTGAATATATCAGGTGCTTTTGCTCCATCCAATGGCCATAGATTTGCCCATCAAATCCGCACCTTCGACCGTTTGGTCGGATCTTTCAGGTCCTGGGCTGCTGCCATTGCTGTTCATGATGTCGAGTCTACGCTGGGTGAGGAAGATCTGTGCACCTCTTCAAGTCCCGTTGCATCCACAAGTTACTCGTTGAGTCTTTTTTGCCCCAACTCCTTGAGTTACTCGTTGACCCTGGAATAGAATAGAGTTTCTTAGAAACTCACGACAATCTTGACCTGCAGCCCTTTCAGACTTCTTAGAGAGGTACTGGAATCCACTGATGAGCAAGCTGCTTTGAGATTGAAGTCTCACTGCGAATTGAGGTCTGTGGCACGTATCATGTGTCTGGGATGGGTGCCTCAAGCATTCTTAAGCTATTCACGCATGTCCCAAGCATTCGTCCTCCCCTCTTTGCCCTGGCATTTCCATTTATCTCATACATAAATGGTATGTATTTTGTGCTTTGGAAAAAGGGGCTCAACTATGTCCCGTGTCCGTGCGGCGTGTCGTTGACATGTCTCAAAACGCCTCAAACATCCAACCGGAGGCAATCCTTCAGCCCGCTTCAACATCGACCGAGCTAGCCAGTATTGCGTTGCGTAATTAGCAGGGGTATCTGGAGGATTCTGGAGGGATGATATTCATCAGCTTCCCTCCAAAGACCTTTTCAAGCGATGACGTGGAGAGCCACGAAGAAAATGCCCCCGGCTTGAACGCTGGCTTTTCAAGCGCAGCATGCGCAGCAGGGTGGGTCCGAACCAGCACAGTGCATCCCAAGGGATCCGTTTTCTCTCTTCCTTTCCGCGTAGAATTCCATAAATCTGGCAACCACAAGGTGGGATGGCTTCTGAGATTGAGATGAATCCAATCTTGCTCGAGCTTGTGTGGATTTCTATTTGTTGCACCCAGAGGCACCTCTAGTTTGTGGATACCTGGAGCCACTGGACTGGCCAAGCCCACGAAAACCTCCGCACGAAGCGGAACGAAACGGTTTTTAAAGAATTCGAGCTTGCAAAGGGCCTAGGGCCTAGGTCAGTACTACGCGGGCTCTTCTCCGCTTAACTTCGGAGGCTGGCTGCACTGCGCTGCCCAGCTTCTCTCATGGCACAATCATTTCTGCTTCTTTTTTAGCGATTTGGCATAGTTCGCGAGCTTTTTCTGCGCCTGCATGAGGCTGGACATCACAAAGCGTTTCTGTATCTCGACAATCTGTCACCAAAGATCAGGCCATAGACTTTTCACTTGTAGCTGTATCTAGAATTCTCAACCGCAACAGTGACCCTTGTGGGGGTTGATACATCTGAGCTAGAGCATGCCGGTCGCATGCTGCAGCTAGTTTGCAGGAATGCCCAACAATCCCCGAGCTCTCAGAGTCGATCGCCGAGGGGCAGTCTTGAGGTCTTTACTCTTCAGCCCTTCGCGGAGCTTCGCCATCGCCTTGGGAGGCATTTGGCTCTGAAGCTGGTGAAGCAGCGAATTCCAGGGTGGTTTGGAGACTCCGGGCAGTAGCCCGTCCCCCCCAACAAAAGGAACGCCAAACTGTGTGGTTTCTTCTATCTTTATATTGCCTTTTCTTACTTTTTTCCAGGCCAGCCATACACATTGGGGAGATCTCAAACCGAGAAGAAACACCAAAGTCATTGGCTTCGTCTATATATATGATCTTCACTATCGTGTGTTTGGAGTCTTATGAGCCTCGTCATGTTAAATCCTTTTGGGACGCATGATTTTGAGGTTTGTCTGTGTGCCACAATGTGGCAGGGAAACAAGTGTTATCAGAAGAGAAAATAGCTAACCTTTTGCCACTGCCTACTACCTACTACCTACTACTGCCTACCTACTACCACTACCTGGGGTCGTGTTCGCAACTGCGTCCGTTGCAGACCGCGGTCCGCCGGTGGTGTGGAGGGGTCCAATGGGTCGGGTCTCCCTGTAAACTGCTACTAGCTATAGATGATGCCAGTTTGGATGCCGTCTTTCATGCACACATTGCTTTTCGGATTGCTTTTGTTTGGTCTCCCCCGGCCGCACCCTGCGAAACACTCCTTGTTGCCTTGTTTTCGATCGCCTCCCAGTCCAGCAACCCCGGCTGTCCAACGGTGCTGCGACCAGCGACAGAGTTCATGGTTTTGGCCAACGAGGGCTTCAGGTCGCCAGGGTGCAGCACCTCCGCTCCAAAGTCCTGGCGCGACTTACTCGGGGCTGGCCTTACGACGAACGGAACAAGGACGGCGACCCGAACGGAGCGGCCTCGCGACGAACAGAGCAACCCACCGGACCGATGAAGCGCGTTGACTGAGCACGTACAGCAGATTCCTGGGGTTCTCTGGGGTTCTGCTTTTGGGACTCAAAGGTAATTATGACTCTGGCCACGAGGATACCAGAATGGCTTGAAGCGAGATTAATGGAACATTATTGACACATTTGTTGGTCCAACGGTCAGACCTGCTTCACACCATGCACAGACTTCAACTAACCCCCGCTGTGCCAACAGGCAAGCCTCCCGAAGCTTCTGGAGGTCATCGTAGCGCAAATCACCGCCGTTCTGCTCTTTGCGAGAGACCTCACGAGCCACTCGAGTCACGAGCCACTCGTCCCGGCTGCCAATGAAGAAAACATCACACGGTCGGCCAATTCCATTCACCCATGCGGTCAAAAAGGGGTCTACACATCTGAGGACGTGAACACACATCTGAGACGTGCAGTATATCCGGAGACTGTTTTCCTGACAGGTGTATCCACTACTGTCGACACCTATCTCAGTCATATCTCTTATTATCTCATCATATCTCATACCAGTATCTCTGTATGGACCCGCTCCATTCAGTTCTCTCGGACCAAATTCCACTTGAACAGACTCGAACACACAGAATCCTTTCAGCTGCTGCAACCAGTGGTTTCAATCCGTATACCCCCCAAGTTTACCATCTTTACCGACTCCCGAAACATCTGGCCCATACCGCTTCGGAATCGCAGCTGTTCGTTCATCGCGATGTCCATCCTGGGTGCCTCATCTTAAGCCTATCGAGATAACTGGATTTCTTAGCCGCTCAGCAGCGCACCACGAAATCCTTCAGCTGGAAATTCGTCAAGAGCGCCTCAGGACCGGCTCGATTCGACCGGTCCGGTTGGAGTCGATGGACTCCACATCCGCTTGGAAAAGATGCGGTTTCAACTCAGACGGTGTGCCACATTGATCCAAATGGGTGCGTTTTCTTTCGTTTTGAACATGTTTCCTACATGTTTCTACTCACTTATCTGCAGTGAACTCCCGGGAAAATGGTGGATTGGGAAGGCCTCGCACAGACCTGCCACATCCAGCCCCCCGCGCCTGAACCCAGTTCACCGGTGGACAGAAGTCCACGTTGCCGGGCTCACAGAAGGCCTACTGCGATTCCACAAAAAACGACATCAACGATCGTCATGGTGGGTTGGGCCTTTTCAAAAACCACTGAAAGACTCACAAACTGCTTGGGAACATGAATGAATATGAATGAACATGAGGACTTTGCTGCCCAGGTTGGTGCAATGGTTATGTCATCCTTCCTATCTTACATTTACATGAGCACGTGCATGATGGATACTGGTAGAGGACATTTGTTGTGAAACTTTTGCTGTATCATGTATCATGTATCATCCTTCCAAGCACTCCGATTTCGGTTTCACCAGGGCTTCTTGGAATTGGACGTGACGAACAGCACATCCTGAGCACCATAGCTTCATTCATGGGTTTTGAAATGTTTTGAAGGGTATGCGTGGGCTAGCGATGTTTGTCAAGAGAACATACATGATCTTGACTTCTGCAGAGCAACCATGGTCTCTCAACATCCACATCGTTGGCTTCGCTTCTCTTGGGTTGGAGTGCTTGAGGCTTCAGGGTGGGGAAAAGTGTGACACCCGCGGGATACCACATTTGAAGCCATCTGTCAATGAGAAGGACGACAACCACTCATACCCACCTTCTTGAACTTTCGGTTGATATCCATCTCCTGGCATGGACAGATTGCAAAAAGAGGCTGCCAGACTGCAACCTAGTCACAGTCGTTTCAGGGTTGGATTTCAAGCCTATTACCAATAGGTAGTTCAAACAGCCTCATGCACACATCACATGATTGTTGTAGGGTTTTGTGTTTTTTCACTCTGACAGTCTCTACCTTCACATAGCCAAGTCTCAGCGCCCTCAAAAAATCCTTTAGAAAGCCCTCAGTCAACAAACATAACAAACAAAAGGAGACTTTGGGCTTGGGGTATTTGATACCCCCCCATCCAACCCCCTTGGAATATTTTAACAAATATTCTGCTATGGGTGCACATGGATAGCAACACATAATAAATACATACACTATATTAATGCATCATAATATATACATATGTTACAGAGCTTCTGGATCCCAAGAACCTAACCTGGCTTTCCCCACTTGAACTGTCATGAAAGATCATGAAAACTATCAGTACTAGTATGTCCTTTTCGCCTCCCTTCGTTGCACCGCTTCGAAGCTGCCGTCCACTCGCGAACTTGGCACCGCGTGGGCACCGCACCGAATCCGTGAGGAGGATCTGGGTATCCACCTGGCCCAGCCATGGCGCGCTCATGGCCATTCTGTAAACGCGACCCCCTGGGCCCCAGCCTTCACCAAAAAGACTCAGCAAAAGACTCATTTCATCAGCCCCTGAAGGTGAGTCCTTCTTCCCGTCCTTGAGAAGACGATCTTCCACATATTTCCACCACGAAAAACGCGTGAATGGACCGCATTTTTTCGCCGCCAGGCCATACTTGGTCTGGCCTCTAAACCCTCTCCATCGGCTTGAAGTCTCAGGGAGGTCCTCGGCGAAAACACCAGTCAATCGCAGCCCAGGAAGCCGACGGCAAATACACGTCTGACAGGACACAAACAGCACCATCACCACAAGCCGGGCACAAGCACATAGAAGCATTCACTGCAGCATGACACATCATGACTGCAACATCGTGATTGTTCATTCCAAGTTGTTCATTCCAACAAACCGATGATGGTCGCCCAAGCTCATGGTCGCACATGGTCGCCCAAGCTCGCGGCGCATCCACCACTTGGATCTCTGGAGCCTGAGAACACCGTTGTTCCACTTGGATCGATCCGGGATGCGAAGTGGAACGACGGATCGAGACCGAAACCGATTGGACTCGACCTGTGCACCCGAGCGGTTCAGACTCGCGTCAAGCGGATCTTCTGCGAGCATGGCCTCCCTGTCAAATGGCCTCCCTGCACATCCTCTCTGCGCAGCAGTCCAAGCATCATACCAAACAACTTTTAAAATCTAATGAGAGGCCCCCTTGAGAAAGGCCCTGGAATCCAGGGCACATGACTTCTGCATTGCTGTTGGGATGTTTATACAGTGTCCTCATCTCAGGTATAGAAGCGTCCTGTGTAGGTAGTAAATTGTCCTCGCAGGCTGCCGTCCGAGTGCCTTTTTGCTTGAAGTCAAAGGCACGCATCCTTTTGGGTCTTGACCGCATCTTGTATGAAGGCATCTCCAAAGATTCCAGTGTGCTTCGAAGCCAAACGAAAGGACACGGACCACTGTTTTCCTTTTGAGGGATACGAGTACCGTATGAGATCCTCTTGCCAAGCATATCATACATATAGATGCATATAGTTCATGCCGTTGACAGACTGACACTGCACGGAAACAAAAAACATACTAGCATACTCACCTTAGGATACGACATAATCTTTGCCGGGCTCACAAACAACTTCCGTAATCAGTCTATGAGAGCAAGAGGCGGAAGGTATTTGCATCTACTTTTTGGAAGGCACTTCTTGTGGGACCAGGCTCCCCGACCGCAAAGCCGCAAGCCTCTGCGTGCTTGGCTGCCAGGTCGTGCATGTTCCTATGGAATCGGTGCCATTGAGCGCAGCCGACCGAGGGGTTTGTGGCTTGTAGCGCTTCCCTAATAGCGATGGCCTCCAACCTACTAGCAATGGCCTCCAACCCAATGGAATGCACTGTGGAAGCTTCGTAATTCTCTTCCACCCACAAGCGATTGATTCCTCCACCAGGCCTCTGCCGCGATGTGGCATATAGAACAACCTCACGTCCTCTCAGAGACATCCAAAGTTCTCCACACAAGCATGAACCTCATGCTGCCTGATTGTTCTGTGCTGCCATGAACCCATGATCTGTTTCGTAATGCTTGATCTGGCTAGAATGACTCCTTTCCCATCCTTTTCCACTCCATGCAGAATTCAACCTCCATTGGAAAAGGGCAGGGCTGCACCTCCCACCAGCGCAAGCACGTCGCCCAGGTGCATGATTGTTGCAACGACCTGGCGAGCAAACTGAGCTGGAATGCCTAAGAGGTCCATATCTATCCATATCTGTTCAACCCCAATATGTATGTATCTCTCTCTCTATATATATATAGATACAGTATGTTTAGCAATCTGTCTTCCATGTTTTTACTTTTTTCACATTAATCTTGAACAGCTGACCCACCTCAAACTTGGAGTGATTCATTCTGAATCACTTCCATCAACTTAACTTAGCAAGAGTCCCCAATCACGATCAACCTTCTATCTTCCTTTCAACACACCCTGTTGAAATAATCCACACGACAAGCTCACAGGACTGTGCGCCAGTGGCTTTGACACTATTTTGCTCCCCTCTATAACGGTCAGCAATTCGATAGAAAACAGTTTTTGAAGACAGTTGCAAAGGGAACTCACTTTTGCGTCTATTTTGTGGCATCATCAAATCTCAACATGCCCTCAGTGACCGCATTGCCTGCCCAGCAATCTCCAGCTCCTCATCCGCTGCCAAGGCCCCACGAATGGCCTTAGCAAAAGCTCTTTCGTCGACAGCTTCGAGTGGGGTCAGGCAGCGAAGATGGAGCAAAGGGGCGTGAAGGTTGTTGATTTTGCCGTACGAATCCGTACGATGTAGAATTCGCAAGACTGTACATATTATCACGCCGTATCTATGGACGCTGAGAAGTCTTTGCGATCTATCGAAACGAGTTCACAAGCACCCCCGAAATGGTCACCGCACACACCAATATTTGGATATAATGGACCAAGTACAGTGTCAAAAGACACATTAACCCATTCACACATTACATCACCTTACACCAATTGCACTGCACTTGTACCACACTACGTTGCATTGCATCACACACACAGGAAAAATATATACTATACATACTAATATACTGCTTGAGCAATCCATACCAAAAAAATCATCCTATCTGTTGCTTATCTCCAGTCCTTCCAGTGGCTCCGGCCTCCAGTGAGCACTGACGACCTGGCCAGCTCCACAGAAACTCGATGTCACATCCAGTCTTTTCATGTCTTTGGCCCTCGATGACTGCTGCTACCTTTACGTTTGTCCCGTCCCGCCTCACATCGTCCTCCTTTCGTCCTCCTTTCCGTTCGAAGCACCGGTCCACCCGGGTCCCGCACCTGCATTGATCACGGAGGTCCAATAGTCCGAAGGCCCGGACAGGATGGCCTGGGTCTCGGAGACCCGGTGAGATCGCGGAGACCCGGCCCTCTCGATGTTTCTCTTTGTACTTGCGAATATCCACTTCATTGAATCTTCATTGAACTTCGAATCCTGACGGATGGTCTCCCCAAGCTGATGCTCCGTTTCCCTTTCGCCCATTTTCGCCCCGACCCACGCCATCCGCAGAATTCGGACGACCCACGCCCGCCATTCGAGTGGCGGCCTCGCCCTGCCACTGCACCGTGACCTGTAGCACTGCCGGATCGGTTGATCCACGTTCGGTCTTGAACGAGAACGAGGCCGAGCATGGACCGTGACGGACGCATGAATGGATAGGACTCGGAACCAAACGAAGACATGATTCCGGGTTGAAGTGATACTGTTTCAGAAAGCGACTTTTGCTGACTACTTTTTGCATTTTTTTGCAACATTTGAGTGTGCAGGTCGTGCAAAGAATTGAAACCGAACAAATCCAGGACTCCAAGTGTTTGCACAAAGGTCTTTTCTCAACCTGATGCCCTGTGGGATCCTTCCTCCTTTGAACCGCTTGTATTTCAATCTGTTTGCTCATCTACACAATCCCCAGGCTTGTTTGCTTGTCCTCAAAACTCAGCGCGAAAGCCACATCTGATTCTGTGATCGAAGGAGCCCTTTCGGAATCAGAACTGGCCCGTACCAGTCTCCAAATGACCTGCTCCGACCGTGATCTCTGCTCCAACCTCGCTCATGAGCTCGGGGTCGAGCGCATTCAAGCCATGCCTGAGCTTGAGCCACCATTTTTGGAAAACATGGAGCACTATGATCATTGACCGACTCTTCAATCTCATGAACAATGATCCATCTTTGTTTTTTTGCTCAAGGGACAGCTTTTTCATCCCCTTTTCTCAACATGGGATTCCTGAGCCTGGAATGTCACCAACATGTTGTGCCAACGGGGGGGGTTAGCCCCGCCGGCAACATATATCCGATCGGTCTTTCAGGGGGGGGGGGGGGGGGGGGGTTGGGGTCAGCTTCGTCCGTGTTACTACTTGCGTACATCGACTTTGACGTTGACTTGTCGACTCGGTGACCTTTCGTTCGCTCGGTGACCGCTTTTCTTGGCTTAGAGGACGACGTTCGAGGTTTGTTTTAACACTGCGTAGAATGGGTTTTCTTGGCCGTTGCGATGCAAAGCTGCAACGACAGCACGTTGAAGGCCTCGCAGCGTTGTGGTTCCGCCAACATCCAGGGTTGGACTCAATGCTCGAGGCTGTCAGAATACATAGAGAAGCTGTGCAAGACACTTGTCCACCAGCTCAAATGTACAGTGAGCTCAAATGGCTCAATTGGGAACAAGACTTATGTCTGGCGGCTGAACAATGAGCCTTGGCAAGCTGTACATGGAGCAGACGGGTGAGTTGGGTCCGTCAAAACGCATTCAACTTATCGTCTTGCAACTCATGAGTTGCAAGACGATAACTTGAGTGTCCGGAAAGCCACGAAGCCCTGTAAAACACATGGTTTTTCACCCTCGGTGTGTTGCGTTCGGGGCTAATCCCCCCCGTTTACCCAACATGTTGGTCGTGGCATGGGTCAATCCACGGATACTAGGCTTGGAGGAATCCACCCAATCGCTTTCATTCTCTTGGACCCTTCGGTGAAACAATTCTGAAACAACAGGAGCCCTGGGGTCAGTTCTGGGTTCCAAGGCAATCACACAACATCGAGGATCTATGAACACTTTCCAAGCCCCATGCGGAACGTCATTTGTTTTTTCCTATCACCAGTCACTATCTTCCTTTTACCAGCACGCGCGCTTTCAAGTTTTTACAAGCTTGCAGCTTGTTGGGGTCACTTGATTGACGATGTCAACTTTTTGCACTGACACCACTCCATCTCTTCGAGTGGCCTTTGGTGGCCCGGGTGCTCTCTTGTTTGCAAGTTGCTTGACGTCTGAATCGGTTGGACATCCGGTATTGGACGGCCACCTTCCAGGAAAGCAACACAGTCAGTTCCGCCAGAACTCTTCTCTCCAATCCATGGGTTTGACATTGTTTGACCAACCATCATCGATCTCTGTTAGGACCCGGAGGTTTTCATGCGCACTGGGGGCATGACAACAGCAACTGGTAGAAGCCCTTGACGCAATCAACCTGGTGGATCGGATGAGGTGACAACTATGACTATGGGGTGACCAACACAGAAGCTTTCATGGGCAGCGCAAGCCAAGTATGGGGGGATGATGGCTCTTGGTGGATGCCGGTGTATCTTGCTGACACATCTTCAGAGTCCTCCAGGGATTCGGAACGTCCATTCACAGCAACGATTGGACTCATGCCCAAGAAGGGAAGGTGTTAATGAGCTGCTAATGAGAGAAAGTACTCTCAACCAAGCGAGACAAACATACAAAGGCATGCCTCCAAGAGTTGAAAACACCTTCAACTTCATCTAGGAGGGAACAAAACAAATTCATCAATTGACGGTAGCAGTTCCATCAACTTGACTGCTCATGTTGGGATTCGGTTCTGGCCTCCAGAAAATGGTTGGGATATGTTGGCAGGATTTGAATAATAGCATTAATTTCTTTCCATTTCGGCAACCCACTCTTGAGATTTGCAGGAACAACTCCCGCCTTCACATGCATTGCAATCTTTTCCACAACAAAAGCAAACCAACTAGCCAACCAGAAACCCTAAAACCGCGTGACTCCGAACTCCATTCTCCCCAACAGGTCTAAGTGTAATTGATACCAATTCAAGGTCTTATCCCTTCACCAATTCCGTGACTCCGATGGGCTCCGCCAGGGCTCCCCCGCTGATCCGCCGGCCGCCCCGACAGCTTTGGCGCTCCAGTCCTGGCGGAGAACACGTGACGGGACGTCTGCGGGCACTGTGGACGTCTGCGGCGACGTCTTTCGTGTCTTTTTTCTGTTGTTCTCCCCTTGCGAGTGCAGAAAAAGGGTCTGGTTTCTTCCAGCTTTGCAAGCCGTTTGACCTGTTCTTGGAGGCTTTCTTTTGATGGACACGATTACAATCACATGGTAATTGTTGGAGACACAGTGACCCATTCCAGGAAAACAACGCCTCTGGACGCCTCTTAGCCTCTTCAGGGGCAACGAACGGCCGCGGTTCAGCTCCTGGAGCCAAAGCACTCGCTTGCCTTCAGCGCTGCGGAGGCTTTCTAAGACCTGCCACACCAGTGCTGCTAGGGACTGGCTGGGTGACATACCGCATGGGTCACATAGGTCAACTCCATATCTATCCCCAATTAGCCTGAAACATTGACCACAGCATTCATTCAGCACTGTGCCCAGCTCTTCCATCAGCTTCCATCATCGTCATCGTTGTTTAATTTGTTTCCCCAAAGTTGAGGTTCTTCGACATACACAATGTAAAGGCAAAGGACTACAGGCACTCGAGCCACTTACGAAAAGGTGGACATAGCATTGCCACTTTGCTCGTCCCTCAACCCCACTGCGAAACTTCAAATCGATTGGACTGGTTCGTTCGAATCGATACCAAGGGAGCCAGGGCCTTCTACGAGCGAAACGAGCAGACTCGAAACCAACGCAGCAGGTGCGCCAGGCCGTGACACACTGAAACACACCGTGCGCGTTCGGCCGTGACACGGGTGCCTTCACCTCAATGAATCGGGCCGTGTCCGTCTTCGGCCCCGGTGCCTGGAAGACATCGGAGAGACGGAGCAACCTGCGAGGGAAAGACAGCAAGCCGTGAGACGAGGGATGCAAGTTCCAATGGGATTGGCCGAAGAAACGAAACACATCCTGAGATTTGGAGACGGAGGACATCTGGAAGAGGGCCAACAACTAATCCTGACAGATGCAGATCTCAACGCTACGTAACTGTTACGAGTCTGTTGTCACAGGTTTGTAGCAAACACCTTATATAGACAAATAGCATGCCAATGCATGCCAGTATGTCTATCACAACTTGCCAGGACCTGGCCAAGTGGAAACGACACTCTCTAGACTGCACACTCTAGACTGCGATGACCATGACGGTAAACACTCATATATATATATATATATACATACACACTCTCATATATATAAGTCTTGAAACATGAGTCTTCTCCCAAACAGGATGGATCAAAAATGACCAAACACATAAAAAAGAACATGCTTTCAACGATCCCATGCAGGTCAAAGACCCATGGTTCTTCCACTGGTTGCAAGACCCACCGTCCCATCTTGGCCAACCCACTCAGAGGGCAAGGGTGCAAAGACCACCGCAAGAGCCTCGAGCGGATCGTTGGGTGGAGTCCAAACGACATCGGAGTTCCATGGGGAATCGTTTCTAACAGCGATGGCCTCCAACACCACACACTTCGGAAAAATGATGGAAAGATCCCACGCCATCAAGATGCCAAGTTGTTTTCGTTTTGGAGTCCGTGTGTTTGTTTGTGTGTTTGTTTGTTTGTTTGGGTTGGGTTTGGGTTTGGGTTTGGGTTGGGTTGGTTTGGGTTTGGGTTGGTTTGGTTTGGTTTGTTTGTTTGGTTGGTTGGTTTGTGTGTGTGTGTGTGTCACATGTGTCGCGACTCTATGGTTCTTGCCACTTCTTCTGCCAAAATGGCAGACCGGGTCGCCCCAACCACCCTTCGCCACTCGACCCCATCCCGCACCTCTGCACCCAGATCCAAGCCCAAGTGAGTCGGAAAGGACCTGAACACCGATGAACCCTTGTCGCGGACCGCCACATGGACCACGCCACACGGACCGCCACATCTGTTCTTCTTTTCACCTGGAAAAAAACGGTGTCTCTGGTGGCTTTCGCTTCCAGTGTTCTTTCCACGAAATGAATGGGCTTGAATAAGCCCCAGGCGCTGATTGGAAGGTGGGTGTGAGCTGGCCTACTGCCTATTGTCAACATTTACCAACACCATTGAATCTTTCTGAGAGCTGCGTGTATCAAGCCTGTGGGCGTGCGAACAACATCCAGAAGAGAGGAGCACACACTTCAAACTTCAGCAAACGTATGACATACCAAACTATGAATGCAATGAACATCAAACTTCAGCCTTTGGCAGTTCTTCTGCTACGCCACCGTCGACGGGTCGCCCTTCGCCCTATCACATAACACGGGGCGCCCAAAACGCGCCCCACGCGGTCGCGAAGGTTTTCCATCCTGTGAGTGAATCATGATGGCATGCTAATGGGTTTTGACACGCACGAAGAATCGTGAGTGTGATGTTACGGGTGCTTTTTCACTTCCATGTTCATGAGTTGGAGAGTAATATTAGGCACATCATAGAGCCATTCAACTCGGTCAGCGACCTGATTGGATAATAATCTCCACATGAATCTGGCATATTCAACCTGTCACATGGAGAGTTAGCTGGCGAGATCATGATCTCCAACTTCACCAACTACAGTACGCTGGCCCTTCTTTCCGCCAAAGCCATCCATCAGAGCTTTCATTTGCGTTCCAATCGCGAAAAGAATTTCCCTCTCATATTATGGCACCAAAAATACAAAAGCTTCCCCTTCAGATCCTTCACTCTGTCTGCGCGGAGGTAAAGCATGCGGCGATTGAGGAAGCACGGCATGGCCACCCCACTTGATGACAATGTCCTCGCCCCGACGCCAGGCACTGACCTGGCACACGAGCGCGAGCTCGATCGAGCTCGGCCCCGGTGCGTATGCCGCGCCCTGCGTGTCTACGCAGACGACAAGTCGTTGGCCCAAATGACCAAATCCGGCTTGGTAGGCTAGGAGGTCATTGAGCATTTGCGTTCTCGTGCAATCCAGGAACCTTGGGAAGTGGACCAAAATCTGTGACTTCAGGGGGTGGAAGACAACATCCAAACACGGCAAGGAACGATTCAAGGCACATGGAATTGAGCTGGACGCTCCAACTGGGATCATCTGGGACAGGACAGCTTGCCGAACATTGCCCAACAGAGGCGACCATGAGATTTTGCGAGTCTGATTGCCAGTTAGATGGGCAATTGGGTTACATGGCCACCATCTCAGGCTTTGGTCCTCAGATAAATGAGCTGTCTACTGGCGTTTTCCAAAAAGGCGATGTCAGGCAGAGCCACCAAAATCACCTCCATCTCAGCCCAACTACCAAGCTCTGTCCCTTCAATCGAGCCTTCTCTAGGAGCTCTTTGGCTTCCGCGTCCTCTTCGAAATGTCTTCGGACCTCAAAAAGCCACGCGCCACACGCGGAGAACCGCAAAGATCGATCGTGAAAACCGGGAGAACCGGTCGGCACATCGAGGCAGCAAATGGGACTCCACCTCACCTCTTTGCACGCGAGTGGGTGGAATCCACCTCTGATTTGGAAGTTCGTCCAGCACAGTTCGTCCAACACCAACAAATATGTTGCAACAAATCAATGATGCCACGTGATGTAAACATCCTGGAGTCTGAGAATTCCGACAGGTTCCAGCAGCGAATTGACCTGCACAGAACGACTGATGCCTGGGGCCTAAAGGACCTTGCTAAAAGCCCTCGACTCTAGACTTCATGCGACCCAAAGAACGAATCTGAGGACCCTGCTCTGGTCAACAATAAAGGCAACAACGAATCCACAAACTCTTCGAACAATTGATCGTGATGGATGAATGATCCAGCCCGAGCAGTATGTTTTGGGACAGATTTCCGCTTGTCGCGGCAGGATGCGGCAGGCGCGTTCGAAGCCAGCTGCTTCTGAGGGGGATCCCCCAATGAGTATTGTTGTCTGTCCGTTTTTGGGCAGTTTTCTCAGAAGCAAAGACCGTGCCCCCTTCAGGATGCTGGGCGGCTGGGCCTCATTGGCCAAGCTCTCTTTCAAAAGGGCCTCCTCAAGCTTTCCTTGGACAAAGTCATCCTTCAAGTCCTCCAGCTCCAGCGGTAGCTCCGCTCCATTCGGTGTCACGAGGCAAAAGCTGCTCAACGAGCTTTGGCCGAAGCCTTTGACGGGGAAACCAATCGAACTCTGGAACAGAGATGACCAACGACTGAACAGTACTTCAAACATCCACTCGTGACGCGAGCGAAGAAATCTTGTCCTTTTCAGCAGAACGACCACACATACCACACATCTTTATAGAGATTTATGGCACACATACCACTCTTTTTGATACCGCGGCTACCGGTAATATGCACCATGCATGTCTCTATACCAACATCTCCGACCCTTAACCAAATTATGAGCAAACCACACTCAATCTTGGTCTCACTGTGTGGTCTCACAGTGTGTGTGTCCTGGAAGCTCTCATATACCTGTTCTCCCACTTGAAAGCGAAAGTCTTCTCTGGAGAACAAGGTGTACCTGCCGAACGCTCGGACGCTGCGACGCCTCTGCGTCTCAACGTGACACCGCGAAGAAGAGACGTGCACCGTTGGGATTTCGAAGTGGAACGGCTGTCAGCCCGAACAGGTTTGCGAAATGCGGCGGGTAGGAGAATTGGAGAAGGGAGAATGAGGAGAATTGGGTTGGCAACCTGGCCACTCTTCTTGCATGTTTAGCAGATTTTCTCTTCAATGGTCCAAACACGAGCTTTGCCTTGCCGTTGAAGTGCAACAAACACTCTTGATGTGTTCTCGTCTTCTCTGCATCAAAGGCCCGTAATGCACAAGCAGAAAAAACAGGGCACTGAATGTAATCCAAGCAAGGATTCTTCAGAGCATCCTGACAAGAATCCCAAGAGTATCACAAGATCACCCAAACAATTTTTGCGATTAAGTTATTTTAGATATCACGTGATTATCACTTGGTGCGAGGACCTATGCTTGACCTCTAGGCTTTTAAAAGGTTGAGCGCATGGTACGTAGCGTCGCGATACGGCGTAGCGAGCGAAACATCCTCTCTGTTCGACACGGCCTTTCCGTGGCGACTTGGCGGCCCTCTCTCTGGGTCTATCCTGGAGGTATCCAGTAGGTTCCATGTTGCCATGCTAAATCCCTGCTGCCAACCTCTGCCTGTTTTGCGCACTTTTGCCATGGCCCATGGCCCATGGCCCTCCATTTTGGTGTGAAAGGCGGCTCTCCCAAGCTACGGCAGTTTCCAATTCATTGGTGAAGGGGGTTTTGGCAGTATTTGGGGCAGATTGGGGCAGCAAACACAGTATCAAGGACTCATGCCAATTCACAAGCACCATGCAACAAAAAACATACCAAATGAAGACACGGGTTGCTCAAAGTCTCCCTGCAGAAGCTTCTGTTTTGGGACTTTCGTAGCTTTCACGAGCTGGACATTCCCTTTCAGGCCACGAGTTTGGCCTTTTCAGAAAAGACCTTTGCGACGACTCACCCTGAATCACAGCCATTGTTGCATCAAACCCTCGCGAATAGGAATGAACATGAATGAACCAATATATCTAGTCGACACTTGGCCAATGGCCAACTGCCCGTGCAAGAATACCTTCGACCGCCCATCCGCCGAAATTCAGGTCGACACCCAGTCTCCCAGTCTGGGCGTCCTCCACCAGGGACATGCCCTCTTGCGACCTTGCGTTCAATCCACAAATCCAAGTCTGTGGGCGAGGTGTCATCAAAGAATTGCTTCCATTTTCGAATCATAGAATCAGCACTGAAATGAATACATGGAAGCCCCGGTTCCTCTTGAATATTGGAAGGCACTCAGACCTTGGGCCACTCCTCCTTGGACGCCAAGTAGCGTGGCTTCTTGGTCTTCCGGCGCGGAGGGACCTGAGCCGCCAGGAATACGTCGGGTCCGTAGAAAGCCTTCTGCAAAGATCATCAAACACAGGTGAAATGCCATTTCACCAGGGGGAAGCGCCTGAGCTAAGAGCTCGGTTGAGTACTCAGTGCCATCTTCGTACTCTCTCTCTGTCGCTCAGCTGTCGCTCAGTCCTCGACAGTAGGCGTTCAGAATCTTCCGGGTCACGTCCTGACCGGGCACACCGGTGACCCGGAGCAGCACCCAGCGACCGGCGTCACGGTCCGTCCCAGTCGAGCATCAACTGGCGGTCTGGACCATCTGAAATCATTGATCCCATCAGACTGGACATACAGACTGGCATGATCTCTATCCGAACTGGCATATTGACATTCATTGACCCCTGAAAGCAACCACCCCGATGTAGGTAGTAAATGGTAGTAATATGCCAGTTCCATGGATGGTCTGGGAGTTGAACATGATCAAACCGGTGACCAGTGCTTTCCTCAACTTCAAGTATTCCGATGGATCGGGAGCAAAAAACTTGGGACCAGTGAGCTCCTTTTGAAGCCATCTACTTCAACATCGCCCCAAAGTAGCAGCATCCTTTGCAACTGCTGAATGGCTTGGAGAAGGCCTTGAAAGCTTGCAACACGCAGGAAAACATCCACCTGCTAGAAGCAGAATCTGTAGACTGTACCGGCTCCCTGGTGACCAGACTGGACTCTTTTTGCAACGATCCAGCCCCACCTCTGCAGCGTCTTCCATGAAAATGGCGCTGTCTGGATCGGACTTGGACATCTTGGCCTGGCCCTTCTTCAAGCCTTGCCACGCCACGCAACATGAGGACAGATGATCCGTTTGCTACTACAGAAGAGTGTGGAGACTTATAGGTAGGTAGGGAGTTCGGAGGATTTCTGGATGGGTGGATGGTAAGCAACCACTCCTTTATAGCAAATACTTGGCCAAGCTCCATGGATAATTCCCCGGCCTAACGACCTGTGAATGGCGTCCGCCAATCCATTTGACCCAACTGTGAAAGCCCTTAGATGTGATCATCTCAAGAATTCGTTTTCCTTCGCCTGGATTCCAGGCCTCTATCGCCTCATCTGGATTCACCGGATCCCACATCGATTCCTCGATTCCCTCACTCTGCATGGAATGTCCGTTTTTCAGCTTCGCTCCGGATCTTTCAGCTCCAGGCCATAGAGCATATGGTGCGAGAGGATCACCGGCTTCAACTTCCGCCCTCCCGGCGTTCGGCTTCGGGTGACGTGCCCCCCGAACCCGCCGGATCCACCGGCTGTAAACACGTTAGAAGGACGGACTGGGGGGGGGGTCTCTTTGTTGGGTGTAAAAAAGCCAACCAAACTTGATTAGAAATGGCAAGAAACACTGAAGAAAGGAAACAAAACAGACATACACGTGACACTAGAGTCACTAGAGTGTGTCTGACGTTGTACCTGGAGCAATAGTCAGCGTCCAAAGTAATGTAGCAAGGATCGTGCAGGCTGAGCTAGCAGATCACCACAGAATTAAGTACAAATTGAAACACGATCAAACTAGATCAAACTAGGTCCTGCAAGTCCAATTGTGAATGGAACCATGGACCAACATGTTCTCTTCCTCTGTGAAAGCGCCTGCTGCATCACAATAGTCCCTTGCAAGCATGTTGACCTCAATCCGCGAGCGCTGCAAATGGCATGCCAACTGCCAACATTCATGTCGTCTGTATAGATCAAACGTAGAGTTCCCAAACACCCGAATCTCTTGAGAGCGCAACATGCCGGGCACAGGTTTCGATTTTGGAGGTGCCAAGCCTTTTACGTTTGTTTTTTTGGGGTGTTGAACCCTTCCCTTCCGGCAATTTCACTGAAACATCCAAAGTCCATCTCCCGCTTCATGACCCACTTAGGCCGCTTCTGTGTTCTTACCCCTCGATATTTCCCAACTTCTGACGGTCTCTTGGTTTCTTCATCGTTTTACAGTGCTTCGACTAACTGCAAAACAGTTAATGTGTAGTCTGTGTATACAGTGCACTGCTATTTTTCTCGCAAAGATGAAGACCTAAGCACAATTCATTCCAATTATAATGTAGTACCATGCTCAAAGCCCGTGCAATAGCAACTCACCGAACATCATTTCCTCCTCTTTAGTGTCGGAGATCACGCGTGTGGGCCTGTCTATGGGAAGGTGCTTACGCTCGCTGCGTTATCGCATCTGTTTTCGTTTTTGTGCCTGGTGCAACCCCGACAAAAAAGTGTTTGGTCCATACTCAACACACTGAATCCTTGTGCAAACATCCCTCGAGTGCATTGCGGCGATTGCTTCCAAACATGGAGGTTTTTTTTTACATACTCAGACCAATTCAACTAGACATCAACCCACCTGCACTTGGATGACCGTGGAACGGTACCAGTCGACCGTTCCAACTGGACGGAACGAGCCGCTCGGTTACCTCGCTCGGTGGTCTCGCCTTGCGTTGATCGACACCCAATTGGCAAATGTCTGCCTGGACCGGTGCCGGGCTTGGTTCTTGAACATGATGCAGACTTCGCTCGATAAGCGACTTAGAAGGGACAAACAAGATGGATGATTGGTTTTTGTTGATTTCTGTGGGTTTTGATTTGTTGATTTCTGTTGATGGATGATTTCTGTTCAGAACTTGCGAGGGCACTACCTAGCATCCAGTTTCTTTGGATTCCCTTGAGGCTTTAAGGTTGGTCAGGTGTTTGGGCAAAGAACCACATACATATTCTCAAAGCACTGATTTGTACACCTTCGTCAAACATCATTTGAGTGTATGGAAAATATTGTTTGAAGAAACTTTGCCAATTAGGCTTTGACAAGACATCTCTTTGTTACCCATTTGTTTGATTTATAAGGCGAGGTAGGATGGTCCAGGCTTGGTAAGGTCTTGCAGCTTGTGGATTTGCGAAGGTGGGAAGTCCCAACATGCAGATGTCGGAGAGACCATGTTCGCCCATGTTCTGAAGCACATGTTGTTTCCTTCAGCGTTTTTCTATATGCATGGCCCGGCAAGCCATTTTTTTCCCTGAACGTGGATCCGATGGAGAAAAACTCTTCTTCTGAGGTTCTTGCTGACTGATCCACCACGCGCGTGAACACGCGTCGACTGCGGCGACGAATCCGATCCTTCAAGAAGAAGATGTCCGTGCACTGCATCAAGGGGTAGAGGATCTGCGCCTGAGATTGGCATTTGGGCGCTTTCACAACCAGCGCTTCGCTTCTTCGCTTTCACGAGGCCTTGAGACTTAGACTTAGCGTTACTGCGCGTAGTTAGTCGGCGTCAGTAGTGCAAGCGCCTAAAAACAGCTCCATCTGGAAACTGGGTTTGAGAGAGACTCCATAATCACCTGGTACTTGGGGCAGCTGTAGTGGAGAGTAAAAGAGAAATTGGGCTGGGTGCCGATGACAACCTCAGAACCCTTTCGTCAACCACGACAAGAAAGCATGTCCGATTGAATCTCGGACCAGCTGAACCTAATTCTCCAAATGTGGACGTGGAAGTTGAGTGAACGACATTCAAGTTAAAACTTGGACATAGCATTCGGGTGTGAACATCTGCAATCCTACGTCCTAAGCTTTCCAAAGCAATGCTGATAAAACTGGGTGGCACAAATTCCAATCCCAATCGATCGTCTCACTTCAAACAACTCGTGGGCACACCGACACGTCAACCTCCACGACTTGTTGTGGAAAAAAACACATTCGACATCACAACGAGCTCAACTGGGCCCTGCAACGGCTGTCAGGGAGTCTTCACCTCTCCCCATGATCTGACAGCACTTCTTCACCTGAGAATCCGGTTCCGGGTTGAGGCCCTGCCCCTTTTTTGCAAGGTAGGTGATCTATTTTGCGGCACTTGAAAAAACCACACATCACCTAGCACATCACACTCAAACCATTGGATACTGGGTCTACAGATATTATCAGATATTAAAGGTACAGTGGATTGCAGCCTCAGTGCCTGAGGTGTCAGTCTTTGGGACGACAGGTCTCTTTTTGCCAATCGAAGTGTATTGGATTGTATGGTTCTGTATATGTCAACATAAGGAGTGCCCAAACTAGCAACCGCCACACAAAGAAGCATCAACGAGTCCATTTATGGTCCCTTTAAGTCTTTGATGTGTTTGTACCCCATGTTTTTTGTTTTTTGGTCTCTTTGCTCGTTGACACACAATGACACACATACACACAAACAACAGGATTCCACTGAGGTTCTTGCCCGAGCCAAAGTCGTGCGGCTTCCAATGTCAAGCGCCTGCCAGGTGCAGAAACAAAGGCGTCGGGAATGCGTGTGGGGTGTCGACAAAATCCAAGAACATCCGGAACAACCGGGTTGGGTGTCCACAAGCAAAGGAATCTAGCCCTGGAAGTTGAAACGCTGCAGTAGAGCATGGGTTTGGGGTATCACTTGAAGGTTTCGAATTCATTGTCTTTGCCAAACCCCAAGAGCTAGAGAACTCTGCCCGACCGCGGAAACAAGCCCTCGCAGGCCTGACCCCAATACTCCTCGGCGCGACGGCTGATCTCATCGGAAGACCAAAGGAACTTCACCTGACCGGGGCAACGGAATTTCGGGTCCCTTTGGTGGGGATGGAAGTGACTTGAAACACATTGTAGCAAGGACGACTCCGATTTGCACGCTGAAGATGCACCACATGTATGATCGCACAAGAACAGCATACCTAAAACCAACGCACAAAAGCCATTTGGAAGATAAGAACAATTCCAGGGCGCGGAGAATTTCACTTGCAGGATAAGATCGGTGCCCCTTATTGTATGGCCAAAGACTCACAAGAAAAACACACACACAACATAAATATAAGTTACATAAGCATAAACATCAACAACAGCTCCTTCAGCCCACTCTGAACATAACGGCCTTAGACATGTCCATCCCAATGACCTTCCAAACTTCGATGAGGTACCTGAAGCATCGGTGTGAGTCGTCCCGACCGGGGCGGAACATCAGAACGGCGTTCGATCCGACTCCGTCGATCGTTTTGAGCCAAAGCCCAGAGGGCCCGGAGGGGGGAGCTCCGAACGGAGCACGCAGACCAGACGCAGTGGACTGACATGGACGGTCTTCTTCGACTGCAATATAGAGGATACATGATGATACAGTTACATGATGATACATGGGCAGATCGATTTGCGACGACATTTCCGTATCGACAAGGACTATCTTGGGCATCAACATGGATGTTTTGTGATAAATATATACTCGTTCCATACTTGTTCCATTAGATGGGATGATGAGACAAAAACACCTCTTTCAGTCTTCAAAACTCCTTGACACACGCCGCTGACACAAGCTTGTCCAACTGGAATGCCCTAAAGAATCTATCTATAGCGCTTGTAGAGTGCCAAGAGATGGAGCCCCATTAGACCCAATTGGGGAAAGACAAGTCGAGTATATACCAAAGCCAAATTCCAAACACCTTGACTTTTTCTCCGAGACATTCTGCGAGCGCCCCCGAGGTTTTAAACCTCAGAGCTCTATCTGAGCAAATCCTGCGCTGGAATCGAGCATCAATGCCATAGGGTTCACTATGGTTCACTAGGGTACAATTCAACTTGCTAGGCCGCTAGGCTAAGGAATCAACACTCTTATGTGTAGTTGAGGAATCTATCTCCGTGACAAAGCTCTGCAGCTCTCCAGTGTGTGAAAGAAAACACTCCTGCACTCGCCCTTGGACTCTGAACTCGATTCGACAGGATTCACAGCGACGGGATCTGATTGACCAGCACCCAGTTCCAAGATGTGTCGTGATGGTGGATGGGCAGAAAATGGGTGAGATACGCATGATACATTCCTCTGACATAGATTGTGGATTTTCAAGTCTACCCATATCTAACACTCACCAGCTAGCTACATACGCAGGCAGGTTCGAATTCATGCCCCTTCCAAGGTCTTGTGCATGCCATCCCACATGGCTTTGACCTGGACCGTACAGGGCAAGTTCCCCGACTATCTGCCACGCGAACTGAGATGGGCTCAAGGAACTTGATCTGCTTCTTTTGGAACAAAGTACAGTATGTCTATGGCAAAGGACCAAGTTGCCTTGAGCAGTACAGTAGTTAATTACTGTATATAGTTCTATCTACTTCTACTGTTAGATATTGTTCGATCAAGAACCAGTAGGCTGAGGTCATCCCAAAGTCTGGTCGATGTCAACTTTTCATGACGTTTCACGAGGTCCTCAGTCCCATGAAACAGATTCACAGCAAACACATCGATTTCGGAAAATGTGTAGATTTCCCTGTTCCAACCAGCAAGCTTCCTTAGTCCCAAAACTCTTCCGTAGATCGCGTCGATCCAAAGGGCTCTCTTGAGGGAAGAGGGCACCATCTAGGCGCACTACATCTGCATCACATTGAGTGGAGAACACAGAGATCCACGACCACTTGTCCACAACCACCACCAGGATATGGTCTATCCTTCTTGTACCAGTAGTTACTGATCGCATGTGTTCTAGACACATTTGGCCATGGTTACGATGGTTACGCTTTCAGTGAAGCAAAACAACATGCCCCTCCAAGATACACATATGATCCTAGGATATCCTAGGAACCAATACCACTCCCTACCGCGCTGCTTTACACGCTACCCCCCAGTTTTCCTCATCCCGATGCTTCTCGGATCCAGGTCTTTCACGGTCAGAACGTTTTCACGACGGGCGGGGTCGAAGGGTCATCGCAGGCCATGCTTTCCGCAACGTGGCAAAGGCCGAAAGTGCCAACGTGCGTTTTGGTTGTCGAGCCAGGACCGAACAGCAAAAACGCCGGGCAACTACACAACTCTGTTGCCACTGGTGCGAAAAGACAATTGCCATCGGCAGTTGTATCCCGCACATAGATTACCAAGAAGCAACTAGCGAAGTAAACGGGAAAACAAAGACTCATGACTTAAGCCATGAGCCATGAGCAAAAAAAGAGACGGATAATCGACGGATACAGTAATTTGTTCAGACCACAACTTGAGGTTGGAATGTACCGTGCACAAATATACCATAGCAGCACCAACAACAACATCAACTGACAACAACACAATAATAACAGAAACAACACAAAACAACCAGAACACAAATTAAACACATACCCCAGCCCAAACCTGTTGGCATTATTTTTTGGGTTTTACATGTCACGAGGGGAACAATTGCAAACTTTTTCTTGCCTTTGCTTATTCATTAAGACTCGACACTACTTTTCTGTTCTTCATGATCATTTCGGCCGCTGCCCAAGCCTGCGTACCATCAAGCTGCCCACCAATTGTAAGCGGTGATACGCTTGAGACTCATTGGAAGAGTCCAGAAATCGTCGTCCCCCAAGCCCGCATGTTGATCCATCATGATTCAAAACCATCCATGGTCTATCGTCATCCATGGTCCATCTATGCCTCCAACCTAGTAGCTTCTTGTTACTAGTATCGATGGCCTCCAACCTACTTGCGATGGCCTCCACCGAGCATAGTGTCCTTGAATGTCCTTGCTATATCATCATGTTTGGTCGATCCATTCCGAACTCCACGAGCTCCACCCAGCGGCGAAAGATTCACCGATTTACACGCGACGGAACTGCTGCGATTCCATGGACTCCAGCTTACTGGTGCTGTTCTCGACCTGGCGTGATGGGTGGAGGGACGATCGCGCGGATCGATGTACCCAGTAGCACAAGACTTAAATGTCGATTTATATAAATGTGAACTTGCCAGTACGATCATGCGTGAATTCCTGGGATCTTTTTCCCTCATTCCCCTGTCGGCAGTTGCATGTTGTACAAGCAATGTGAAGTCTGGGAGGCTCGTGGATTTCAAAAGCCACTCCCCTTTTTTCTTCGGCCACCCACTGACTCGCCACTCCCCGACTCCCCCCAGGCTGGGTGCCTTCAAGGCCTCCTCCTGCGGAGCCTCAAAGCCGACAGGATCAAACGGATTTTTTGGACTCTCTTGCAACATACCTGACCCACTACCTGGAGGATGAAACGTACATTTCAGGTGTGCCGGAATTCTTCGCAGGAGAATGAGGAGGGAGAATCCCCATCAGAGCAGTTTATGCCAGCCTTTTAAGGAGTGAGTCTTGGTACCACGACCCCAAAGGAAAGTATCAAGTAATTGGGTAAATGTTGGCCTTGGTTTCGTTGGTTGGGTGGAAATCCTTAAGACAGGCAACGATTCAGGAACCTTTCGCAACCGGGATTCGATCCGCTATGGCTATGGCTTCTATGGGATCAATTGGTCAATGGCTACCTGCCTTCCAGTGTTCAAGCCCTCTTTGCAATGTGTTCACCCGGCACACCATGACAATGCCACTCTGCCCGGCCTGCTCCAGAGTTCCAGCAGCTACTGCTGCAGGTTGACCAGCCACCCAGTAGCCCTTGTAGCCTCAAACAGCCCAGGTGACCCACTGGGCTCTGAAACAGTGAAGTGGTTCATGTGGATGCCTCGATTTGAACAAGTTTCTTCTCACCAACACGAGCAACCTATGGCAAAATATCTGACACGCATGTCTATCCATACGGTCTGTCTATCCACACACGTGGCAACATTTATCGCTTGATACCATTTGATATTGGAAAATCTCCGCGGCTATCCGCTCTCCGGCAGCACCGCCTGGTTCCTAAGGGAATGTACTGGAGTCTGCGCGGTGGTCGCCACACTGGAGAGGTGGTCACTCCTGTGTTTCCAGGTTGAAAGGTGGACACCTATTCCACCAATGTATGGAAGAGATAAGACGTACAACAACCAATTGAGCGATATATCATACACATATAAATATGGATGTATGGATGTTCATGGATGTTCACAGTTTCCACGATATACTGAAAATATCTTAAAAGATCTTAAAAGTGGCCGCGGGATATGATCCATCCAAATGTGATGCCATACGCATGGGCAGTGTCACCCGATTTCACCATGTTTGTTTGTGGAAGCTTATGGAAGTGTCGACTGCTTCAACATCCTCATGTTTTGCAGCTGAAAAGCCGGAAGCCACCCGCTGCGGTGTAGCGCGCACCGACTCACAAGGTGACCAGATTGGGATTTCCATCGACCCATGGTCCACCGGAAAAAGAAAAACCCGGTGAAACACCGGTGGTGCGGACTGCCCGGGTAACACGCGCCTGACTCTTGAGCTTGTTCTGGAGTTTGGAGCCCGTTCCCGTGTTTTTGGAGCCCAAATCTGCGCCGCCTTTGGACACACACCATTTCCGCCGACTCCCCTACAATCCACCGAAGGCGATCGAAAGAATGGCCCAAAACATTGCCGCCCTCGAGCCGAGCCTGTGGAGCTCATGGAATGAGTTGGAGACCTAGTTGTCGAGACTGACAAACTCTAAGATAAAATATACTAATTTCAAGTCAAATTCATTCCAGATGTGAGAATTGAGACCCACAAAGCAACTCTGTATATGGTCATTTCCTCATGATCCAACTCCCCTTTCCCTACCAGTTTTGAGTCCAGCGGCTCATGCCATTGCTCCACTCGAAGACACCGAAGCCATCCTGGGACACGCCACCACGCGGTGGCTGAGCTTTTTAGGGGTCCACGTCACGGAGCTGTCTGCTGCGAAGGCAGGGCCACGAGTTGCTTTGGAACATCTACATAACCGACATGTATGGTCCATGTATGGTCTATTAGACACTCCATGTATGGTCCATGTATGGCCACCGTTGCTTTAGACACTCCATGTATGGTCTATTTACCGACCTTGGGGTGGTGCCAGGGGGTCAATGGGGCGGCAGTCCGGACTGGCAGTCCCAGACACGTCGTGTCTGGGTAATGAATTTCATGGGAAAACCCGCCAACTCCAAGAGATGACCACCATGATCGAACGTGGTTTTCTGGTCATGCCGCCATGCCTCGAGAAAAACATGACACATCATGACACCACTACATGCTACATGACCATCCTTCTCAGTCCCACACTT